AGTTAATACTTTTTTTTACTACCCTGCATATCATCCTAACTCACGCCAGGGAAAAAAATATTTTAAAATGTCAATGGGAATACGTGTTCCAAGGGGTCATGTACCCATCGGAGTCAGACTTTTTCTGCACTTCGCATCGAATAGGTACAAGGCTTCCGAACAGCAGAACAAGTTCGACCTTGTCTCTTTGATCGTAATGGTAAAGCACATTGCTTTGTTTCTTTCTATTTCATCATTCACTGGCATCGATGCTCTTTTCATTATATCTTTTAATACTAGTTTCTCGATGTTCACGATTATGTAAATGTTTGTTAATCCTAGAACTCCTAGTCTGCTGTTCTGCCAAGAGAAACCAGTATCGTTGAAACTTTTACACCGTCGGAAAGTTCCACATCTCACATTGCCCTCGTTTCAACTGAATCTGATGGAGCTACAACCGATTACGGGTCACAAAGGTGGCATTCGGTGGTGATGCTCGATTCCGAGAAGTCGGTCTCGAGAGTAACCTCGAGAAGTGAATCCTCTTCAAAGGAGCTCTCACTTCTTATGCGAGAAGAGAGTGAGTCTGAGATGTCTGGAGGAGATAGCTGGAATTCCAGAGGCGCGGATGACCTCGGGCAAGGATGGGGACCGCGAAATTCCTGATGCTAACTTGATCACCACCAGTCAATAACAGTGCCTGGTTATATTCAAATTAGAACGCTTGGACAAGGATTGTGGTGAGCTTCCGCGGACCATGCCAGTCCTTCCTAAGGTTTTCGTGGTACAGTGCTCTAGTTTTTTCATTTAAAAATGGAAATATATTCAGAAGAATATTGACATGTTTGGCGGCACTTGGTAAAGATGATGAGCCTATGGCTTATTTTCATTTTTGCTGCTTGTATTTTCATTGAGGAAGGTCAGACACTGTCTTTTTTCACTGTCTTTTCGCAATTGTAAAAGAGCATGTCGCTATGGAACTCCTGTTTTTCACCTGCAATATAATGTGACCTACATGGAAGAAGGTGATTTATTTTTTGTCCATTCGAACTCCTCCTTTTCCACTTCCTGGAAGGCTTATTTTAAGGAAGACTAGCGGCCTGTGGCTGCTACGCTAGCAGTCAAATGGGCGGAAATTTGAAAATGATTACATAAAGATATGGAGCAGTTCGCTTCTGCGCTTCTCCCGCGCTCCTCTTGCGCTATTCCTGCGCTCCTCCAGCGCTCACCATTCCTTGCCTCCCGCTGTTCCGCGGTCTGCGCAGCCCTACCCACCCTACGTGCAGCATTCACTGCTGCGCGCTGTTCTTCACTCATTCTAATGCAACGACCACCACGGCTAGCATTTCCAAAATCACCGCTTTCCGCAGTTTGCACCGCAACTGCGGTGGCACATATGATTTCCGTGTCAAGACCAATCGTTCCATCTGCGGCGACTGCCTCATCGCCGGCCGTCCTGTGCAACCTTCACCAACATTTCTTTTTAGCGTTCAACCACACCATTGCGAAGATCGTCACTGTCAGTGTTGACTGGAGGAGCAGCCCAATTGCGGGGCATATGAAACATTAGAGTTCATGTTATTATTTTTTACTTCATCAATCGTGAAAGAAAAATCGGCCATGACATGAAACGCAAACCGAAAAGCATTGCATTGTTGCTACGGCACGAACCGCCACTCCTGACCTAAGAAAAAGAAATCTTCACAGTGAAACAATGGATCGACAAAGAATGTATTCAAGTGGAGAACCAGTAGGAGAACCACCTTTCTTCATGCCAAATGACTTTTTATGTCGCTCTAAAATGAATTAGCAAGGAGAGTTTTCCAGCGTTGCTGACGTAACGTCTTATGCAAAAAGCGAGATTCACCAAGCAAGTGTTCAATTCATTCAAATACAATGGTATGGAAGTAATAAAAACCACCCCACTTCAGGTGGTTAATGTTCAATGATGCATATTTGGTCTAAGTGTAGTACTTACACATTGAGGAAACGTAAGATGGATGACCGTTTTGCTCATCAATTTTTTGCCGCTTTCGTCCCAATTACTTTGGAACTGACCATATCCGAGATGGACAGGCCTATGTATCTTATGATGCATGTTATCAGAACGCTCGACCTCAACACGGGACGTCATGGGCAGATAGGGCTCCTGACCCAAACCTTGACCCTTGAACCATAACAGTGCTGATGATAAGAGTTCGAATCTCATCTTTCGAAGGACTTTCGTCTGTATAGGCACGATCCTGAATGTTGAGTGATGGCATTGACACGGCGTTGCTCAGATGACCAGCCTCTTTCCCCCGAAGAAAATCCAACGTGATTCACTTCCGCATTATCGGATGCGGCACTTTCCAATTGCCAGTACTTACGAAAATCACTGCTTCCTGTTAGCACTTCACTACTTTATTTACTCTGCATTCAGGGATCCATCCCTGAATTGTCCCTCGAACGAATTGGCTAAGATTGGGTCCTCTTTTATTCAGCATATTGGGGACAATAGGCTGGCTTTCAATGCAATGTTTCAGTACAGTTTCGTCTCCTCTCTCCTTTTTTTGGAAAGGATAGAGGAGAGGGCAGCGAAAGGCCTGATCCATGGACTGGCGCAGGATCAAGTCCAAGTTGCAATCAGCATCTGATTGATTCCGGTTCATACGAGAATGTGTAAACAGCAGTATTCGATTCCTGAGGATATGAATCTCATTAATTGTTGTGAATGAAGCAATAGTGAGACAAGTTTGGTTTGCATGGATGTCTCGCCTATAATTGAATTGCCCAGTTGAATTTATTTTCATATACCAGGCAATGCGATCGTAAGCTACTGCATGAGTCTAAATATGTCAGTAGATATTTGAAATGTATACGTACTTGCATAAACAGTTTCTGCTTGCAAAAGTTGTGCAACTGAAACAGAAACCTGTAGCGCTACTTCATGACAAACATTTCACTCAGTCTCAGAGACGTTTGAGGTTAAAAAATGTGAATAGATTCAGTAATCCATGGGAATATTGAAAGTTCTTTCTTGAGTGAGAAGATGGATCAATGTTCCACGATCTTTCGAAAGAATTTATCAAGAATCTGATTGCTAAAGCATGAGGTCATTCCATGTGTCAAATCGAAGTCGCAGTTCAATTTCATATCATGTCAAGGATTCGAGTGTGCATGAGCATTCCAGTAGTCAATGTCTCCTTTCCGAAAATTATTTTGGACGTCGTCATTGACATATCAAAGGAATTGACCACTTTCAATTGCATGTAGTTTGGACGTTCATTCAAAAGGAAAGCTGGGATCCGTATCGTCCCGTATCCATATTACTGATTTAACTTCTGAAACTGATTGGACTGATCGAAATCGTCTTTCACCTAGTGAAAGAAGATTCCAAGGATAAAGGAAAAGGCATTTCTATGCTGTATTAGAAAGTGTGACCCGTAGGACCGACCTTCTAGTGGCCTGGAGAGCATCAACAATCCCCCAGCATTTTAATGAGACTTGGGTGTATTAGATCATCGTATTGGTCCGATATTGGATTGAAAGAATTGCAATATTCGGGAGACATTTCTTCGTCAATATTCACCCAATATAGGTTGTATTGGTGAAGACGTAGTAAACGCACCTACGTTGGCCCAGTATTAGGCGAACATCTGGTTTTACTGGAGTAGTAATGCCAATATTGGCCAATATTGGGTGTCAATTTGGGCCAATGAATGCATGGACTTGGCAGTTTATATGGCGAGAATATTTGGACGTTGCTGCCCCAGTACCAACTCAACAATTTTTGGCTTCCGAGCTAAGAAGGGGATGGTTTGCCAGCATAGCTAATGATTTAATCCTTGTGAATGTTTCTTAAACTGAAGATGTAGGACCAGATATGGAGAATTCTAATTTCAGTGCCTGAGAAGGCTAACATAACGTTGATTTTTGCTTGGTGTGATAGCTTCACAAATGCCATAGAAACAATTCAAATATAGTCTTTTTCTCTTTCAAACATGACTTGTAAATTGAAGAGCTATTATCGACCATAAGACCAGTCGCTTGCTGGTCACACGTCTCATTAGATGGAATCCATAACAGACAGTGGGGCGCTGCAAACTGTTGTAGCATGCTATTCAACTCAAGGCGTTCCATCCGGTGAAGCATAAATGTTATGTGTTTCACGATAATGTTTCGCGAAACGATTCTAATGTTTTTCTTGCTTTGAAAGAGGAGTCGGTCAATATCGTTAGGTAAGTCATTTTTATGCATTCTTCTCTTGGGCGAAAGCTCATTCTTCAGCGGGTTGATTGAGATTAGAGATACTGTTGGTTCATAAAATACGAATCGGACACAACGAAAAGAATTCCAAAAAAGAGAATATTGAATGCTCCAGCTGCAACGTTTAGGTATGCGGTCGAGTTTTGTGTATAGGTCCGGTCTTTGTTTTGACAATGGTGTTTTATTTGTGCCTTGATCAATTAGGTAACAATAAAGTAAGACTGACCTGCTCATGACATTTATTTATTTCAATGAAGTTCTATGGGCTGGTATGAATCGGAGCATTCGGTGAATAGCATGAAGTAGGAGATTTCCCTGCTGTCTGGAATTGCGTAATAATTTAATACTGCGACGTAAATGCTTTGCTCACGCATGAGTGCCACAGAAAATTACTGAAAATTGTACATTTATCCAGATCATTCACCTAATCTATCTAAACGTTTTCAAGCACAGTGCAATATCCATCAAGGAATTGTGGTACGTTCAGAATGGATCCCTATTACGTGGGAAGACATACGTTTCCTTCCGGTCAACATCTAAAGACTGGAAAACTAGTGCATATCGTCGACGGAACTGAGCATGTTACCAGGATGACAGAGGGCATTGCTCGAAATACCCACTCGAAAATGTTAGGGGCACAAATGGGCGATAGCAATCGAATATGTGTGCAATTCCCTCAAAATTTCTTAGCAACTGTCGCCGGAACAAGTTTCCTTTTCTCACTAACTTCGATTATGGGGAGCAATACAAACACTTTCTAGGATCGCTGGGATTTAGGTGAACATGTTTCTCTTGAATATAGGAACAGGGAGAGCAACAATGTTGCTGACCCTGAAGCAGATTGTGACGCGACGAGCAAAGAAGAGGGGTAAGAGATACCACATGTGAAACTGCAGAAACAAACGAACAGGAAATTGCCACATTTCAATCGCCAGAACATGCCATAATAATAATAGAAATGGCAATATTGAGGACCGCGAAGAGGAAGAGAAAGAACCGATCCAGGATCTTAGAGGCGATTCTCCAATTCTCCAGGTGGGCCCGGAAAACCGGTTGTCCTCGAATCATCCTCGGCTCCTCCTTCCGCTCCTGAATCTGCTGCTCGTCATTGTTAGGCGAGATCTCTGTTTCCCGCTCTGTCATACATACAGTCGGGGAAATTTGGCAGTCTGGTATTTCTAATATCTAAGGGCCGAATGCACTAACCTCATTTAGGGAGTTGAAGAGCCATTAAAATAAAGATCTCTTTTACCCTCATTGAAGTACTTGCATTCTTAAGTGACCGTTAACATTCAGCATTCAGACATAAAATTATAGGGTGTTAAAGAAAGACCTTGCAGGGAAATGAAAGAGGTATACAGATCACGCATGATGTTCATTAACTGTTATTTTCCTTCAAGGAACCGGTGAAGCCCTCTGTATAACGATTTACATACGAGGTGTGGCTATTAAGTTTCCAGACTTTATTTTTGTATTTTTTACTTTTAAACTTACAAATTAATCACATTTATCGCCTTCAAAGTACTCCCCTCCAGAACGTATACACTTATCCCAACGATGCTGCAATTGCTGGAAACAGCGGTGGAAGGCTTCTTTCGGGATGTCTTTCAGAGCCTGCATCACATTTGTTTGAATGTCTTCAATGCTTTGAAATCGATGGCCTTTNCAATAAAACCAGTCTGGAAACATAATAGCCACACCTCGTATTTCATTTCATAAAAAAATTATGAATTTCTTTCAGTAAGATCCTTACGAAGGCACTCGATTTATCAATTCTATTTTGAGCAAAAATCCATTATGCTTCATGAGACTCCTTCCAAATAATTTAATAACTCCAAAAGGAGTTAATAAAAAAACCCAAAAATATACCATTGCCGTGGGTAGCATTTGTGGACTGTTTTTTGGAAATTCGAACCAGATCGTCGAAGAAAAGCCGAAAGGAGAGTCTTTCAGCCCCAGCCTCCTTCATCTCTACCATGTCTTTGCCCTTCTTCTTCATCTTCTTCTCCTTTCCGTTTTCAACCTGTAAAAGGATCATTAAAATTGCCATATTATGAGAGACGTAACGCGTCTTTCTTACTTCCATGGGTAAGTCCCATGTCAGTCACAATTTTCTAGTCCATAAGGGCACAAAAAGCGATGACCTCAAAGCCGTGGATATTGTGGCATGTTTACTGATAACTAAAAATATCAGCAATTCACACTTCCAATATTGACGGAGAAAATGTGCTTCACAGCATTTTCCTTCATAGATTCTCAATCCATCACTCGTCCAGCCTCCAAATGCACGATTGAAAAAAGTTGTATTATTTTGCCTTCATCCCATTTGAAATAAGTAATGTGAGACAATCCGTGGCAGCCTCACTTGCGCAATTACTACAATTGGTTATGATCTGAGCATACAGACGATCAACTTATGAGGCTGGACATGCAACTGTTCAAGACTGATTTTCTCCTTTGTTTTACAATGGAATTTTATTCCTGAAGAGAGGAAGTGGGTTCCCGTTTTAGGTCGTGTAGGGTTAACGTGCAGGGGGTACCGAGCCAGAGGTTGTAGGTCAATCTGGAAGGAGAAAGCAGAAACAGACCTCTATGAATTGCGACATTCTCATGAAGGGCATTCTGGCCAAAAGCTGACAGAACTTCTGCATGCTCCGGGGGAAAGGGACGCCCTCCAAATGAAGATAAAGCGTGAAGATGCTCAAGCCCACCTCCAATCCAACCAGACAGATGCACACGCAGGAGTATCTCCCTTTAGAAAGAGTAGCAATGTTGAAAATCCCCTCTCTGGAAATGGTTTCATATCAGACACTAGGAGGACGTTCTGTTTCTTGTTGCATTTTCTTGGGACTTTGGTGTGAATATAATAAGAGGTGGTAAATTTTGTTCTATTTAATTTTTTGTGTTCCCATAATTTTTGTGCTCTTGTCCTTTACTCCTTAGGGGTTGAAACTCCTTCAGTTTTAAATACCTTCTCGGCTGTATAAGGTTTTTTTCCGGAAAAAAAAATATTCGTTAAGTTGTAGAAGTACACTCAATTTGCGAAGTATCCCGTCCTCTCCTTCATATTTATATTTTATGCCAATGAGTTTTGAATGTTGTGAAGGTTGGGGTAGGCCAACCAATAAGCGGAATATCTTCGGTGGGTGGGAGTAGGTCCCGGATGCTAGTTAGGAATATAATCATATTCAGCATGGTGGATATACCAAGCGTCACTTTCTCCCCGCTCTCGCATGGCACCAGGAACGCCAACAGGGCTGTCAGCATGGAAACAAAGGATGAATAATATTGAATGCTCTTTATTACATATTTATCTATAATATTACTGGGACATGTTCATTAAAAAATATCGTAACACCCATGTATTACTATTTCATCGTACGCAATGGATTGATTGACCGTTTATGGCCATGTATTCAATGTAGAGATATACTGTTACATTTGAAACAAAGCAGTGACCAGAATGAGTATTTTTGGTAGAAGTCCATCAAAACGAAACGTTACAATATGTTAAAACACTTCATGCAAAATTATAAATCCCAGACAAGGTATCGACATTCTTAGAGCTACGGATCGCCTGGATGAACTCTCATAACGCTATTCTTCAATACAGATTCCTTGGATCCTGAATAAGTCCAATCCGGAAAGTCCTTGCATATGCTCACGTGATCAGACCTCGTAGGAAAAGATAGATTTTTCCAAATGTCGTCTCCAGTTGAATAATCATATGGTAAATCTCGCATTATGGTACGAGGGGCATTGTGCTTGTTCGAATGATATCTTTCACGAGCCCAAATGTGAAACTTTTTAGTCCGATCTCCGATATTCACAAATAATAAGTATACTGTATACGTGAAATAATTAAAAAAGAGAGACTTTGAAGATCATTTCCCTAGCGCACTTGGCATGAGGTAAGACGAGGAGACGTGGCAGCATTTTGATACGATGCATTTTGATCGGTTGTGGTGATGCGTCCACTCACATCCCCTTGATGTTATGCTTTTATATGGATGTCACAACCTATCGCATTCATAACAATGGGGGAATAAAGTTAATTTCCCCTTGCCATTGTAAAATATTATTCATTAAAAATTGTACCATGCAAAGGTTTTACTCCCGCGAGTTAAATCATATTTTTAGGTGTGCGGACAGATAACTGCGCTCTCACATTGCAATATGTAATTTATATACACAGAGTATTCAGCGGATTAAATTTTTCTACATGTGATAGGCTTCAGCAGCACCAACATTTTTTTTACCAAGAATTCTACATTTATTATGGGACCTCGGACCTATTAGGATGCTATGATATGCAGATTCAAACTGCCATGAGGGTAGGAACTGTGAGGGCCATAGTAGCGAATGATCTCTTCCCCAGTTTCCTAGGTGGGGGAGGATGCATATAAATAGCATGTCCTGATCTATGAAACCTCCAGTAACTGCTCTTCATAAGTCATGTGATATAATTTTCAGTATTGAGAATTTTTATGCTGCAAAAATTCATCACAATGAGGACGATTTAGACCGTCAGAATATTCTCTGTGTTGGGTCATAAAACCATGATAAGGATTAATGGAAAATTTTCAAAATTCCGACCGATGATATTGATGACGACCATCGGGAGGATGTGGTTGATGACGAGAAAGAACATTCCCTTTCTGGAGAGGGTGATGGAGTACTCCACAGCAGAGAAGGGAAGAATACAGCAAGGATCTGTATAGTTCCTATGCGCAACCGTAATTAACTCCAACTTGAACTCTGCGCTCTCTTTGTATGCCACAAGCTCGGCTCCACGGTCATTCGGTACTCTCATCTGGATCTGATCGGTGACAAGCATTGTGGATTGGTCTAAACCAGCGGTTCCCAAAATGTTGCAGGCGTACCACTGGAAGCTTGAAGGTTCAAAGCGAGTACAAGGAGGTTTGGGAACCACTGGTCTAAACGATGACAAAGTGACTAATGCACAGACCTTATCTTGGTCCTGGGTAAGGGACATGAAGAGCAGTGTGCACGTCTGTTTGTCGAATGGGAAACCCTTGGCGTTAATGTTGCAAGAGGAGCGGAAGTGTGCCACCATCTCAAGCATCACTTCCCCGGTATATTCCAAGATGAGGTTCGTTGTCACAATTCCTTTCAAGTATGTCTCGGATGCGCTAATTGAGGACAGTCGTAATTAACTCAGGAACTAAAGATTGCTACAAAATGTCTGCACTGATTCTTAGAGTGCATATTATATTTTTCCCATGTACTAGCAATTTAGGAGCTCCATTGTCTTCCTTCAGAGAGCCTAATGACTGGGAAGTAACAGTCAAAATGTATTGCTTGGGATGAAACGCATTCCTATCTCTCTTGCCTTGCAAACCTCAGAGCNTTGGGATGAAACGCATTCCTATCTCTCTTGCCTTGCAAACCTCAGAGCATCATAATCACCTTCGTTCACGAGTAAGAACGGCAAGTTTACCTATTGTAAAGGATGTTATCCGGAACCCAAGCGGATTCGTAGAGGGTTACGGTTTCCCGAATCCCATCATAATCGGAAGGGTTCCATTGAAGATGGGTGTCATTCCAGCGTTCGACCACTGCGACGAGGATGGCCATTGACTGATCCCTCTCGTCCTGTGAATCATAACATTATATTCCTTAATACGAAAAATATTTTTATTACGGCCTCTTATAAGGTTAGTCGCGGGGTTTCATGAGTTGATAAAAGGAAGGTAGTTCACCTTGGAGGTTAACTGTTACACACGGTAGTCGTCGGCATGCAATATTCTGGACTGAGAGAATAGTTATTACGTTTCTGTCTTGTG